AAAAAAATTGCAAATGAGTGTGAGACTGCAGTTTTATTAACTCCATTCCTATTTCTAGATGGAGTTAAGATATGCAATCCAACTGTGATTGCTTAATTTCTGTTTTTGTTTCCAGCAACTTTAGAACATCCTAATTAAGTATAATTAAAATGAAATGTTGGTTATCTTTAATGGTCAATGCTGAAACAATACTGTAAGGAGATGAAATTGGAATGCCAATGAAGGCTCACTTTTGCCAGTAACAGAAGACTGAAATCATTATTCTTGGGTACTGTTTGGGAAAATCTTACATTAATCCTGGAACACAGGATAGAAAAGCTGCTTCTACATCAGGATAGTTAAACACTATCCTGCTGGTCCTTCAATATTTACACATGGACCTGTCAGTTGCATTTCTACAATGTTGAAGTTTCCTATCGAGATACTGTTTTGGGGATTTGTTTTAATAATGTGGCCTGAAAATTCCTTTGGAGGATTTATCATTTTGAAGTAGGTGAGAAATTCTAGTCTAACGACATTTGCGACAATATTTCCACCAATTGAAAACAATGGTACAAAAATGTAATGGCAGTGTGACTGGAATCTTAATTGGTGCACTGAAACCCATCGATTGGTCACTAATCAATTTAAGTTGAACCATTTAATTAAGGTACAAAACCATTAAAGTGAAGTTAAAGTCTGCCTGAGGACTGTTTAGTCCTGTGCAATAGAGACTAGCATGAATCTAAAAGGTAATGTAATGTTTAAATTTGCAAGAGTTGGCTATTAACTTCACTCCAAGAATCCATTAAGACATATTTGGGTAAAATCTATAGAAATACAGAATTCATGTCAAACTCCCTTTGGTAGAAGCTCGTCAGCATTATTACCTGAATTATAAAATGTTAATGGCCCTACTAATTTCAATAACTTCTCTCTAAAATGATTTCAAACAAAACATGCAAAAGGATATTGATGCAGAATGAAGAGGATAGATGTGCCTTGGGATAAAGTAGCACTCATAGGATCAGAGAAGATTGGATTTATTTGCATTCTTTCTTCGATATAAAACAATTCCTTAAATAGGTCTAGTTTTCTGGCTTTAGTCTCTCTTCCTGGTAATCCATTCCAGTGGCTGATTAACCTTTTCTAAACTTGCTCTCACCACCCTGAACCTGTGACCTCTTGTGCTACCTTAGAATAATTGAAAGTATTTTTCTGGTATACTTTCTTTAATCTTTTTAGCATCCTCTTATATCTCTGCAAGGTTCTCTCTGAGACCTATTTTGAACCCTAGAGAACACAAGTATATCTAGTCATTCCTCGTAACCCATCCCTGTTGCTCAATTTACCTTTTGAATGTTCGTAGCAGCATTTAAAATTGAATAAAAACATGCACATTGATTTCATAACTCATATAAATATTATTTATATTAATGTATCAAAAGAATTATTAGCAACACAAACTTAGATGAAACATATCTCAATGTACAAGCATTCTTTACAAATATTCCAGAAGCATAATAATACTATTAAAACTAACAATAACATTATAAATATTCCAGAATCATAATAACTATTTACTAATGTAAAACTTTACTTAACCAGTACCATTTGGAATTTGTATTGAACGTGGCAGCCAATTGCGTATAGCAGTGTCCCACAAATAGTTGTAGATTGAGTGACCAATTAATTATTATTATTTTTTGAAGGAATTATTACCTCCGGAAAAGAGATCCACCAATCGAGTAACATCCGGATTCTTAGTTACTGCTAGGTAAACAGAGATATGTGGAGTAAGGAAACTTGTCCAACATTTTTCCCTCCCGGGAAACAAACCCATTTCTCTCATTTGTGAGGCGAGTGCTCCAGCCACTGAGCTACAGGATTTCACTTTGAAAGAACTATGGATGGGCCTAAAGCAGATTAATAAGTATGATGGGGCAATGACGAAATGCCATAGCTTTCCCTTTTCAATACTAGATAGATAATTGAAAAGTCCATGAAAGGCATATTAAAGGACAAGTCAAATGGAGAAATACAAGGTCTTATGCAGTAGCTCAAAGGGTTATTGTCTTACTTAACATGCATTTATGCATTTATTATGGTGTCCCAAGCACATCTGCTAACTGCAGGACCCATAGGCCTTGTGCATTATCCAATGCCCAATTGAATAGGCCACTGATGGGAGCTCCAAAGTTGACAGATAAGAAGTAAAATAAACGAAACAGCAATAATGCCATTGACGGTGTAAGACATCCATACCTCTGATCAAAATGCCACTTCTGATGCCAACATAACCATTTATACTAAAATGAAGTATTGCTGTAGTACGCTGAAACATTCATAGCTGTTTCATTCAAGCCAGCAGAGTGGTCTCATTCCTGCTAGCCTTTATGCACCCAACTTTGGCACTGGAGAAAATAAATCAATAAATGACTCACAAGATCCAATTGTTAAATACAAGTTTCATTAATTAAAGATTCTAATTAGAAATTCTTCTCCATAACTCAAGAAACACAAAGCAATTATAAATGATCATGAAGTTTAACTATCATGCTGTTGACAGTAATCCTTTGGAGGATAAAGCTAAATAGACTTAAATTTTGTATGTAAATTGATATTCAGAAAACGTCCCTTATAATTCAAAACTTGTAAGTTCCTGTGAAGGTCTTAACTGACCTAACTTGAAAGAGGCAATACTATTGATACATTTTGATGCCAAGTTTACTTAAACCTAGTCTATTATGGTTAACATATCTTTACTCATTTTAGGGTAGCAAACTCAGTTTGGGTGATCTCACTTAGGAATCACCTTGGTCTGGTTACAATATCTAGAAATACTTGTGGCTCGTATTGAGAGCTGTCATTTAATCAGGAAATGAAATGACACAATACTTAAAAACAATTATTATTAGAAGAAAAAGTTATTGTCATTTTGTTTAAATGTTTGTAAAGTGAACACATCAGCAGAATTGACGAGGGAATACTGAGCCAAGTGGGTATTTCAACCATGCATTTTAAGTCAGCTCTTTCATATCATTAGGGTTTCTAGCTCCTCCAAGTGAGTTACCCCTCTGCCATCGGCATTTCTCACTGTTTAAAAAATAAATCTTAAAATTGCAAATATTCCACATCAAGTAATATGACAACTTATGTTAGCGACTAACAAATCTAGGAATAATAATACTTTTAAAACATGAACATTAATACTCTCGAACCACGTAAAATTGATAGTTTGATAGTAAGTTATAACTGATCATGAGGTACAATATCCACTATCATGTATAAACGGAAAGACGAAAACTTTTAAGGCCAAAGATGAGAATAGTAAAACAAATTGAATAGGACAATACTGTATTAAAGGGTTGTCCAACACAAGCTTTATCATGCTAACGAACATTGTACAATTCATGTTTGTCACTTATTAAAATGAAATGTGACTATCAATTCATGGAATGATACATTTTTAAGTGCCAAGGAAACATTAAGTAGCAACTGACAAAAAAATGCCTCGAGTTATTGCAGCTATCACTTTATAAATCATATTGATTGCCCTTCAGCACCACAAACACATTACAATAAACTAGCAGTGACAGCATGAAAATTCATCAGTGCCCTGGGCTATGAAAGGGTATAAATGGAACCTCACACTGAATATAATATATTGGAGTTTTTGCCTGGAGATTTTTCAAAATTATGCATCTTCAAGTCTATGTTTCTTTAATTATAATACTGTGCTATTGTAGGCGGTTTGAAATGAAACATAAAATAATTATAAGTATTATAATTATAAACAATAATATTACTTTTTATAATAATTATTATACTTATTGATATTATTAATTGTATTAGTTTGACACAGGTGGTTTGTTTACCTTATTTATATTTGTTTGCCAGTTTTATTTGTTTCCCCTTTAACCTCATCACCCAATTCTTTCACCACGCTGTTACCATAACTGGGAGAGTGGCTTTTCAATTTGCAGACCGTTCTAGAAGGACAACATCAACAACAACATAAACAACAACTTGCATTTATATAGCTCCCTTCATGCAGTATAGCATCTCAGAGAGCTGCACAACAGCAGGTTGGATGGGAGAAGCAAGGGAGAAGGGCACGGTGACCATGGTGACCACATCACGCTTTGATCAGCAAGAGAGGTAGTTTTATAGGGTAAGGTGATGGTATAGGATAATAAAGAAGTCCTGTAACTCACTGGTTAGAGACTCGCCTCGCAAGCGAGACACCTGGGTTCAATTCGCAGCAGGGAGAAACCTTGGGCAAGTTTCCCTACTCCACACACCTAATAATAATCCCTCAAGAAAAAAAACAATAAAAATTGGTCACTTCAATTCACGACTGTTTGTGCGACACTGCTGTGCGCAATTGGCTGCCATGTTTCGCCCACAAATATACAGTCAATTCACTTTACAGTATATTCTGTGAAGTGCTTTGAGATGCTTAGAAGATGTGAAAAGTGCTATATTAAATGCAAGCATTATTATTATTATTATTATTAAAACAGTTGGATCTAAGGTTCAAATTTAGGGGGAATAAAATCACCTAGTATCGTTGCCCAAGCATAAATGGGCATTTTCTTGGAAGACAATAGGGTTAGAATTATTATTTATTGATTTAATATTTCAATCATCAATGATATTCCACATTCCACAGATTAAAACATTACTGTGAGATTCAATTTCAGATTTGTAATTATACTATTACTGCCGGTACAGAAAAAGAGCTACTCTCGTGAACAAAGTGATTTTCTACTGGTATTAACCTTTACTATCTGTCTCCTGAAAAAATCACCAATTAAATATAAGGATCCACATATAGATGACTTATTAAACAGTATAATAACCTCACAAACTTCAGGTCTAATATGATAATGTGCTTAAATTCTTATGCTATATTTTCCTGCGTAATTTTGTTGGTATCCATACCAGCATAACAAAGCTTCCTGGACAGTTTCAAATTTTGGTCCATGCCAGTCAAGTAAAAGGATAAGATATCTTACCAGATATAGCAAGAAAGTCATCAATGCAAGTGATGTCATCCACTGCTTCAATAAGAAGTTGAACATGAGTCTCCCAGGCTTTTTTATAAATCTCCATATTGTTTTTGATGGTTTGACTTTTTGGCATGGCAGCAAGGGCTAATGCAGCATTTATAACCTACGTAAATCACAACAAAAAAGTCTTTAAAAGTCCACACTTAATACATTCTCTGTGTTATGCATAATAGATAAAGGTGTTAATTTTCTGATGAATGTATTTGAACTTCATAAAAGTGGTACAAGGAATAAGTTTAATAAAATAATATCTTTGCAAATGTGAAATGCTGCATTGCAACCTGAAAAACACATAGCAATTACAAATAGCTTCTATTTGTTTAAAAGACAGCTTAATTTTAATTATCATTGCGGATAAACATAAAAGGTTACTTATCCTCCAATTTGTTTCCACACTTAGACGCAAAGTTTCTTGGCATCACAATTAACACCTTGAGGCATTGTATGTGACATAAATTGAATATTAAACATATAAAAAATATGGCTTAGGTTTTCACTGGGTGGTTGGCAAGGGCAAACAGTCACAAGCATAATTTCACCCTACAGCATTGCAACAATCAGGATCTGTTTAAAACAGTACAAACCTGAACAGTGAAGGATGCCGAACAACACCTACTTAATCAGGCAATAACATTGCAAGTAAATAAAGAGAAACTTCGCCCCAGCACATTATACAACAAAACAATAACTTGTATTTATGTAGAGCTCAGCACAATGTCTTGGGAGTGTTGGATTACGCTAAGAAGGCATCCAAAATCTTACACAGAGATACCATAGGCACAATTCTTTCTCTCAATGGGATTGCAAAGGTACACCAGGTTATTTTTCAAAATCAATCCTAAAAATAGGATCAATCATTAATCAATCACTAAATACAGCAAACTGTTCAATACTGATTTACCAACCAGTTACTCCCAAAGCGGTCTCAAAATTTACGGGAAGGATGCACTTAGATGTTAATTTGTGGGATATCCGACTGGATTTTATCATACTTCAGGAAATTGCCCACAAAATATAGTCTATTTACTTTATAGTACAGAACACAAAATACTGCAGATGCTGGAAATCTGAAACACCTCTTTATAGGTTCTGAAACCTGTTAACAGCTCTTCTCCCCAGTTTTGTTTCAACCCATCCCCCTTTTTGTTTTACACCCCCCTTTTGTTTTACACCACTAACACCTCTTTAACCCATCAACTAACACATTCTCTCCTTTGTCTTCTTTATTGTCTTCTTTGTCTTCCTTGTCCTGCATCCCCCTCTCAACTTGTCCTTAAAAACCTCTCCCTCCCAACATGCCCCAGTTCTAACGAAGGGTTGTGGACCCAAAACTTTGACTCACTTTCCCTTCTCCATAGATGCTGCTTGACCAAATGTAATTTTATTGTTGTTGTTGTTTTTGTTGTTGGACTCTACATTCTTTAAGTAACAGAGTGGTTGAAGACCATCCTAATTAATATGATTTAAGAATATGAAGCATGGAACAGAAAAGATTATTTCATCCATTAATACTAATCCTTTCGCAGAATAAAGCCTAAACTGTTTTTTTACTCCACACTGCTCTCTGTCTCCAGAAGAAAGTTCTGTACAAATTCTCCAAGAACCCCAAAGATCATCAATCAAAAGATCTAGATGATTCATCCATCTCACATTTCTACCATTCAACCACTTTTTTTTCTGCAAAACAACATTTATTTTCCTACATCCTCAGCAGCATAAAGCAGTGTTCCCTTAGGACTCTTTGATTGTCGCTCTCAGTTTGCACCCACCGTATTTATATAACCACACATGATTTCTTATTGGACTTGTAAATGTTCTGTGATAACTGCTAATTCCTTTTTCCTATAAATTGTTTAGAACTAGTTTCTGGCATGCAGTAGATTTTTGTGTACATTTTTGCAGTTATGGTAATTTCAGTCCCAATAAGCTCAGTGTGTACTTTGTCCAAAGGTCAGTCTAATACTTTTATCGCTCAGTCTCATTCTTTTGCTGCATCTGGTGTTAGAATACTTTATCTACATAACTACTATTACATAGATTTGATACTATTTGTTCAATAAAATTGACTGGATAAAGAGAGGATTGTTGCTAAATGAGGTCTCCCATTTAAAAAATCTGTATATTAATTAAAATAGGTTTATTGTAATATGCCCAGCACATTTTATTATACAATAAACAAAAAGATTTATTACAATTATTTATTACAGTTGGTTATTAGTAACAGTACTCATGTATGATTGAAAAGGCTAATATTATCCAGTAAATGATTTGATCAAAAGCCAAGCATGTGATAAGAAAAAGAATGACAACTTTGTCCATACCATGCTGGCAGGTAGAAAGAAACAGCAGTTATCAAAAATTGTAAACATCAGTAGAAATGGAAAGCTCACTAACAGAAAATAAAAAGAACTAACACAGTACATATTAGAAAGAATACAAAATGGCTGGGAGTTTATTCAAAGTTGCAGGACTCAAAAAACTATTTTAAAAAATTAGATGAGCATCCATTGAATATTTATGATGGCTTCTGAACCACTCTGAGATGCCACTTATTCTTTTTGTACTGTGCCGTATGGAATTTGTTTACAGGTAATTCCCACAGCTGAATAATAATTTATCGGAAGCAATGAAAAATCTCACAGCTGAAAAATAGTATTATTCCAGACATGCTAAAATATACCTCCAGGTCCTGTAGCATTCTCAGTTTTAATACTCTTTCATCAAGATTACATCAACCAGACTGGACAAAAGTAAGCTTATTCAAAAGTCTGCTCTCTGGTGATCTCAGGTTATGTAAGTTCTCATAGGTTAGAGTTATTTACAAGGAATTTTTTGGAGGAGATGCACTTTGCATTTTTAGTATGAGGCTTATTTTCTATTGAGACGAAAGATGCTATATCAAATTTGGCGGCCTTAAACTTTTGTAGTTTTATATAATTTATATATATATACAAATGAACACAAACAGTGATTGAAGCAATGAAACTAAAAGGACATATTTCCTTAAAGATCATTCCTTTAAAGTTATTTCAGAAACAATCACATTCATAAAATCTGATATCCTAAATCAAATGCATAAAAGATTGATCTCTCTGCAATATTTAAAATAATTTAATGGGTAGTTGTGAATTTCGTATTACAATTACTGTGACATGTGTTTAACTATTCCTACTGAAGAGCATTAAAAGAGCTATTTTATCTTGTGAAGGACAGTCAATTGCTACCAACCACGCAGGTCATACAATTTGTTCCAATATTCATAATTATGTTCCAGAACATTTTCTAATATACAAACCCTACTGCACATTTAAAGCTTCAAAAATACCATTAATTTCAGCATGACTTTTGTTCCTGCCACTTTGTATATCAAATCGGACCAGTGGAATTTCGACCCTAAAATATCCTTTAACCATGATTCAGTTTCTTCAGTTTGCAGTTGAAGTTTGTAACTTGTCTGATCTTGTCCAATGCAAAACATATAGTTTATTGAGTGATTTCTTTCAATTTTCAAGAATGTGAATTTATTGTAAAATAGATCCTTGCATTTGACACAGCACCTTTCATATTGGTAGTCTCAAAGCACCTCACAGGAATGTTTTGGAAAATGGCAGCCAATCTGTGTACATCAATGACCCACAAACAGCCATGAATTCAATGATCAATTTTATTTGGGGAATTGTTGGCCAGGACACCAGGAGAAAATCCTTTCTCTTTTCAAATATTGCCAATGGGATCGTTAACGTTTATCTGAATAGGCATCGGGACCTCGGTTTAATGTCCCACTTGAAGGATATCACCTCTGACAATCCAGTACACTCCCACCAACCACTACATTGGAATATCAGCCTAAAGTATATGTGAGCCTTGATCTAACAACCTTCTGATTCAGAGGCAAGAGCTGAAACATGCTGACACACCATCTGAGCGAGGTTGATACATTTTAAGTACAGATCTGTAAGTACTGATGTATGTATGTATAGATATATTATTTTCCATCCATGTTCTAGCAAACAAGTATTCTTACAATAAAATGGAAGCCTCATTTCCCAGTAAAAGAGAGATACATGGCACTCACCAAAATATTGTAGTGGGTTGGGGTGGGGGGGTGGGCATGGTAAAGTGAAATGAAGGTTGCCATTGTTTAACCAAACAAGAGCTAACAAGGGCCATTTTAATAAAAGTAAACCCAGCATATATACTTGTACCTAATATTTAGAAGAGTTAATTTTTAAAAATGCAAATAATTTGAATGGAAACTATCAGTGATGGAGAGAAAGGAATGAGAGCTTTTTTTTGCACTGTTCTTTAAAAAAACACTACTTGAACTACAAAGATAATTGCTTGTATCCGAAGTAAAAAAAACATTTATTTTAGTATTTTTTTTTGCAAAGTAATGATGCAAAATGGTCATCTTTAAAACAGATAGGTAAAAAGAAAACAATATTGGTAGCCTTCTGGCTGAAACAGTAGGGTTGAATGACTGATATATAGATTAAATGGTATTCATTAAAAAGTTAGTTTCCCCTGAAGCAACAGAAATTTCTGTTGTGATGAATGAACATATAACACCATAGTTCATTCTATAACCTTGAAATGACAGTTCCGTTGATCACTGTAGTCCAAAAATGTACCACATATCTCATCATCACTGTTTTTTCCAGTCGGTTTACTATCTTCATAAAATAAAAGCCTCTGAACTGGGCACACAGTTCATCTTGTAATTTGCCATATGAGGGGCTCAAGGATAATATGTCTTTGGATGTATCATTATTTTCAGATTTGAAAATTCTAACAAGTAAAGCAAAACCAGCACTTTAGGAGGATTATTAACATTGTTACAGAAGTATAAAGAATAATAATAATCCTTGCATTTGACATAGCGCCTTAGCACGTCATCAAGATGTCTCAAAGCGCTTCACAGAATTTTGTGTAAAATGGATTGACTGTATATTTTGTAGGCAAAATAAATGTTTCACATGAAATATCAGTGACATCAAACTTCATCTATAATGAGTACATTTAGTCTGTATGGCCAAAGAGAGCAGACATGAACCCAGAATTTAAACATTGTGTGTAGCTATAAAAGATGTTACTCATCATAGC